GATCAAACCTTGTATTCCTTCACTCCTCTGCTAAATCAATGCAAGCCAGCCGAGCTGGATCTTTCAAAAAAAAACAATAAATCCGATGGGCCGGGTAGCTATCTCTGGTGTACCACTACAAGCTCAAATCCGCTCTCCCATTTAATCTGGGATACAACGGACAACCGTATGCATTGTGCATTTGTGTGTGTGCACGAACGTTTACGACGGCACGAAGGTGTCAAGATGCCAAAAAGAAAAAAAAAATCATACAACGAACGCACCCGCGCGTCCCCTTCCGCACAAGGACGACAGAAAGAATCCCTCGCAAAAAAAAAAAAGGACGACAGAAAGAAAGGGACGCCGTGAGCAAGCCGACCGATCCGGTGTCATGTGTTGGATTGGATTCGAACCTGGACGAAACGCATCCCCGCTGCCTCCAGATTCGAACCTATCCTATATTCATATCCTATCCTCGGAAAGATTTGTGACGACAAGTTGTATGAACGGCGGTGCCAATCGGCGGGAAGAGACAGAGAATATCAGCGGCAGCGGCCCGACGGAGGATACCGGACCGGATACGGGCGGGGGTGGCGCGGTCGCGGCATCGGACGACGGGGTGTCCGACTGTCCCCCGTTCCCATCGCCGCGGCAGCCGGCCGTACCTCCATTAAACTAATCCCAACTAGTTAATCATCATCCTCCGTTGGCTAATGGTCTCGGCGTCGCCCGGCATCTCCACCGTGACGGCGAGTAAACTAATCCGGCGGAGGGCCGGTTGTTAATCTAATCCGCGATTTGTTAATGATGAATGAAAGAGGGTGCTGATTGGTTCTCAAGCCCGTCCCGTATCCCACCGACGCGTGTGCCCGCCGGACGATGCTTCGCTGTCGCCCGCTGAGCTCTCTCCGTACAACTCTGCGGTGGTCCCCATTTGTGCTGCTCGCATCCTTGTAGTCAAATCAAAATTTTTAATGCCAAGAAAAATATCTGCCATTGTACTCCCTCCGGTTTTTGTTTACTGCGGAGTTTAGGTTTATCTAAAGTCAAATTATATATTTTTTTAACGGGTTCGTAGAAAAATATATGGCAAATACACCATCAAATCTATACCATCGGACTCATCATTGCGTATATTTCAAATCATATAAAATTTTAATTGTAAATGTTTATATTTTTTCTATAAATTTGGTCAAACTTTTTAAAGTTTGCCTTCAGTCAAAATTAATATGTGGAGTAAAAAAAATGGGGGAGTACATTTTTCCAGATGAAGTAGATACCCTATTGATGAACTATAATTTGCTTTAGAAGAACGTATACTCCCGCTTTTTTTCAAACATGTGCCAAATTTCATTCACTCAGTAACAGTGTACAACATGAAGTACAAAGTCCCGAAGATTGAAGGCACCAACAAGAGAGATTATAGGGCAAGGCATTCCCGTGAGCTGAACCAAAGCAACTAAAGACAAGTCAAGTTTCAAAGCACGGCCTAGAACCTGGCGAGCACCATCGTGAGCTATTCCATTGATCTCCCTAAAGATGCGAAACACATGCGCTCAAAGATCATCTATAATCGGTTTTCGCCCGGTTTTCCATTAATTAACTGGGCAACTCTCTTCTTCTTAATTAATCGATGAGGCAAATCTTTTGCCTCCGTTTTAAAAAAAAAGATCATCTATGAACCAATAGAAATCTGCAAGAGTAGTTTTGATCGTCCATGTAGTTGAGTTAGACGAGACATTTCTAGCCGTTGCCGACTTCGCGAGATAGAAGTTGTCTGCAAGAAAGGTTGGTCCAGCAACCTACAAGAGCCGAGCCACAATGGCCGCAAAAAGAGGAGCATGTGCTTCTGTTTCTGACGCTTGAATCTTAACTTGAATGATCCTGTAAGAAGTTTAGGAAAACTCCAGCGTTTGTTACACTGCTTCCATTCAAGCCTCGAATTTTTGGACATTTGAAAGAGGCATTAGAATAAATTTTTGCTCCTATAATTAGAAGATCAGGCCTAAGAGTGCAACCCTGCAGTAGCCTCCCCCTTATGTTTCATGGGATATGTAAATCATTTTTCTTACTATCGAGTGCACCTGAGCAATGTTGTGATCAGCCAAGGCTGAAGCAACTATGTGTACCTCATGAGGAAGAGAACCTTTCTGAGCAAAACGACAATCGTTCCTAGAATTCCAAATGTACCACATAAAGTTGAAAATGTCGGGTATAGATACATAGGGATAATTCATATTAAGCCAGACCTGAACAACAATTTGCATGGAAAGATGGTTCTCAGTTAAAAGATCAGTCCTAAGGTACCAAGAATGGGCAAATCAAGCTGTTGTCGCAAAGGCACAAAGGGAAAAGAGTTTCATTTTCACTTTCATCTACGACATCACTGTTTTGATATGTGAACAGAGAAACGACTAGCTCGCAAACCTGTCGGAAGAGTTTTTCGAAGAAACCTCCAGGCAAATGTTTGAGCTCTTGGGGCTATCTATTTTTGCTATCGAGCCTGTATAAGAGGCTCCTTTACCTGGAAAGAAATATGTGAAGGCTGATTCCTTGGTAGACTTTGAATATCCAGTAAACACAATTTGTAAGTAGATTTGGAGTTGCATTTACCATTAGCGTGAGATCCCAACAAAGAATGTCTGGACAATCATCTTCAATGATGCTAGTGTGAGTGATGATAGAGGCAGTGGGCTCCTGGAAAAGAGAGTGGGTGAGATTGTTGTCCAAAGTTTTATGTCCTAGGAGCCAAAGATCTCTAACTTGAATAGGATAAATGAAGCCAACAGGTTCGATAACGAGATTGTTGTGAATTTCAATCGAAGCCAAAGGCCAACGAGTATCCAAATGGACATGTTCCATTGAGTGATGCGGAAAAAAGAATAAGCCTTGAGTTTAGGGAGCATCTTAAGTATGGATGACCAGAAGGGAGATTTTGGAGTGTCTGAGTTGGCAGCGAAAATCCGCAGGGACACGCAGGTGAGAGAGCGCGCACCTTCCCTATCGTGCATGTCCGTTCGATTGCTTTAAGATTCATAAACTTGATTAGTCTTAGGCTTTTGATTACTGAGCGGGGTCCATCCATGCATGTGTTTGGTAACTTTTGCCAGAGGGGCATGTGTCATCCACCCCATCTTCATGTCTACTCCCTCCGTTCCAAATTACTCGTCGCTGAAATGGATGTATCTAGAACTAAAATACATCTAGATACATCCATATGTGCGACAAGTAATTCGGAACGGAGGGAGTATTTCATTCATCTTTTAATTTCAATCTACTATATTTTGAAAAAAGTCTAAAGTATGTTTCATTTGCATATTTGTGTTCGTCGCCGCAAGAACTTTCGAAAAAGACCAATCTTGAATATATTTTAAATTTAAAAAAAAAATCCAATTATCATATTTTGAAACATGATAGTCGTGACATTAAGTTTTCACAAGTCTCATCAAGTTTTACCAGGTTTTGTATGCTTTTAGGGTTTAGGGTTCTGAGCTTTAGGTCTTACGGTTTATGGTTTAGGTTTAAGTTTAAGTTTTGAAACTTGCTAAATTTATCATCGCTCGTATCAAGTTTTATTAGTTGAAACTTGCCCGACCGCCTCTTCGCAATCCGTGCGTCGTTGGATTCCGCAAGAGGGCATACCAAGTTTTAAGTTCCATTTTTTGAAACTTTGTATTTTGTCGTTCCGCCTCTTTGTATTTTTTTGAAACTTAACGGAGTTTTAAAAATTCAAAAAGAAAATGTATTCAAAATGGATCTTGTTTGAAAGCTCTCGTCACAAGCAACACCGATCTGAAAACGAAAAATTAAACTAGACTGATTTTCAAAAGATATAGAATTCAAAATTGAAAGTCAAAATGAAGGATGGGAGGTGGGATGAGTTGAGCTGGCAAAAGCTGCGAAAAATTGCGCGTGTGGAACCCATCCAAAGTAATTATGGGTTAAAGCACGTGCAAAGTGTAAACTAGTTTTCAGATCACGAGGCAATCGGACGGCCGCAGATCTGCGTGGCCTCGTCCCTGCGTGCTACAAATCCTCCCCCGAGTTGACAGCCCATACTGAGGTGTCCTAAAAATATTTAGATTTGAGCACCAGATACAAATGAGAGTTGAGATAGTTTGGAGGTCTCCAAGCAGAGGCAAGAATGAGCCCTTGATTCATGACTTGAAGGCCTCTTATTCCTAGCCCTCCGTTCTGCTTGGACGTGCAGATGTCCTTCTAGGCCTTGAGGGTTGAGACAAAGACTTCTAGAAAATTGTAGTTCTTGATTCCTGTCAGATAAACGCATAGTACAAAGGTTCAGTTCGGTGTCAATACCATGGTCAGTGTGTTCGAAAATACTCGTCTTACATCATGGAACGGAGGGAGTAGCATACATTTGTTTTGCTACATGCTCCCTCCGTCCTGAAATGTAAGGCAATTATCAGACGGAGGGGTGTTCAAAAATAGCTTGCATTTGTTTTGCTACATACTCCTCCGTCCCAAAATGTAAGACAATTTTGAGACGGAGGGAGTATGTTGATACAAAAACTTAACAAACGCGATGCCTACATATTTTGGAGAACAAAAGGCATTACTAGCTTAGTCTCTTGGAGCTGCTCATAAGAGTAAAGTGTGTGTGCGTTTGTATGGGTAATGTATGCACGTGTTTGTGAGCACCTGCGACTGTTACTGAAGGGGAAAAAAAAGACAAGCTAGGTTAGTTTCAAATATTTGTCAGCTGTTTATTCCGCGAGCATAGCAAAAAGGCAGTAGGTCTCGTTTCACTTGCATATCAGCTAAATGAATTCCTTCCCAAAAACTCAACAGAGCTGCGCAACGGTCCGATTTGCACTCTACCGCCAACACTTGAATTATGGTACAAATATACAATTGCTAGTGTCCACAAACACAATACACACAGTACACAAAGTCACGTGCCACGGGTGAAGGCGAAACTATCCAGGCACCAGAAGGGCTTAATTATTTCTGGGGCAGCGAGAAACAAGTTCAGATCTAGCTCCTCGGGTGTCCACAGGGATTCAGTTCTTATGCTGCATCCTGCCGCTCTCGGCGCCGGCGTAGGGGTCGATGGTGACATTGATCACCGCCGGCTTCCTGGCGCGGAACGACTCCGACAGGGCGGATTTTAGCTCGTCCGGTGTCTCAACAAGATAGCCTTTTCCTCCGAAGGCTTCCATCATCTTGTGGTAACCTGCGCCGGGAACGAAGGAGGTTGGGGCAGGGTCATCTTTGTAGGGGCCCGTTAGTTCATCTGGGCCTCTTCTGTCACCACCGTAGACGCCATTGTTGTTGAAGACAATCACAACAACAGGCAGCTGGTACCTCACTAAAGTCTGAAAAGTGAAACGGTAGATTATAGATAATTAGGAGATCTGTATTTGCTCCACCGTAGTCTAAGTAAATGCTTGATATGTCATACAACTATTTTAGAACGAAAAACTGTTTCTTCAATGTGAGAGTAAATATCAGGTAGAAACACACACAACAAACAACATGAGTAAGGTCAACATGAAGGGTACCTAAACCAAAGCTGTTAGTAACAACAAAGGCCACCTGGATGAAGCTGGCAAACAAACAAAAAACATAGTATATAACTAACAGCCAAAAGTTTGATGATGTATGAGTTACTAGAATGAATCACTAACTGGTACTCCCTCTGTCCCATAATATAAGACGTTTTTTGACACTACACTAGTGTAAAAAAGCGTCTTATATTATGGGACGGAGGGAGTAACATGGAATGAATTGGTAACACAGGTTCAATTATCTGATGAGCCTGATCGCTTTAGCTGGGCTCTGCGTCAGAAAGGACAATTTTCCGTCCTTCGATGCACTTATGAATTCTTCTGTAATATACTCTCACTTACCCGTGGAGTTGGGTCAAGGAGTAATTCTCACGAAAGATAATTTGCTCGAAAGAAACCGGCAAGGAAGCAAGTCGTATTTCTTTTGCGGACATGATGAGGCTATCCAGCACCTCTGATTGTCACGTTGCTCGCTTCATGTGGGGGTTAGTGCACATAGATTTTAATATAAATCCTTTAACTAGGATCACACATTGTTTGGGCAATGGTTAGACAGTCTAGGATGGGATCTTCACTCTACTATCATGTGTGGATCTGTGGCGATTTGTTGGGTTATTTGGTTGTGCCACAATGATGTTATTTTTATAAGAAAGCTTTCCGGCATCCAAACCAGGTTATTCTCATGTGCAAGATTGCTACTGTTATGGGAACTATTGCGAAACTTCTGGAGACTGCCATGATGGAGTTCTGTTCTACTGATATTTTGCGAATCTAGGTGATGCTGGCGTTGGTTAGTGCTTTTTAGGCATGTTCGATGCTTGTTTTTTTTTTCTGCCACTTGTTAGCCTAAGGACTTTTTTCATCTTCTTAGTGCAGATGCTAGGAGAAATAAAATATCCATTCATCGCACCCCCACCCCCAACCCCAACAGCACAGTGGTGTTTACAATGGTGGTGATATCTGTAAGTTGACAAAACTGGGTTTCTACATTCAGGACATGTATTTACAAATGAGCCAGCATGAACAATCCTCAGGCACCCTATTTGCTGTCAAATATACCAAACCACACCTTTAAGAATCAATTTCAAGGACCATAGTTCTTTTTGGAAAAATATCACAGACTATGGAAATGCTAAAAGTGTAGTTTGTGCAACAGTTTGCAAGAGACATGTCAAACTGTGAAATTAATGTGTGAAATATACTCTTTAAATGACAAGTCATCTTTGTATATCAATTCAGCCTTTTTGCTGCGATGTCATAGATCATAATGTGTTCGAGAAATCATAGTTCATAATAATACTTGTGAGAGTCAGTGTACTTGGATGATGTGTCTACTGTCTAGTATTGTCTGAATTATTGACAATGAGCATTTCCACTGTCCTGGAAAGACACCTCAGCGGTTCATATCGTGTCCCCATGGACCCCATCTAATGGCTATAATTGCTTGGTGCCTTCTGGTACTACTTCATGCCGAGAAGCTGTGAAGGTGGAGGTACCAAGTCACAAGGGGCAGAATAGCAATGTTTCGTGGCATTTTCTGATCACGAGACTACACCAGTGACAACCCTATCCCTCACAGAGACTACACCAGGGACAACCCTATCCCTCATGGGCTGCTTGCAACAACTTCATGCACGCGCAAGCTCTCCCCTACTGTTTATGAGTAAGAAGAAAAAAGCCCGTATATGCCTCTAATCACTCTTAACGGGCAAACATACCGTCAATCCCCACGCCTCCTCCATGAGTTTCCCTAGCTAGACCACCTATCTCCCCTGCTTCGCTTCTCATCTACAAGTCCGGCCTATGCGTAGCAGGCCGCCGGCAGTAACTGCAGCATCGGCTGCACGAGCGTCACATGCTCATCACCATCAGCATCAACCTTAAACACGTACTCCGACATTACAAGGTACCACCAGCCGGAGCTAGGCCTCCGCAATGACCTCGAGGTGCTCCTTTTCAGATCCAACCGTTTGCGGTGCATCCTTCCATCCATACTCATCCACCCCTGCCACAGCCCCCACAGCTCGATTTTACCTATAGCTGTTCGTAAAGTATAGAATGCTGGGGTTTAGTGTCTGTGTTTCTGTGTCAGTGAGTTAAAGATGTCTTCTGAATATTAATTTATGTTGCTGAGTGAGATGTGTGTTTGCTGTCTTTGATCTTCTCTTTTGGCATCTGTAACCCAGTAAGAAGTTGCATCTACTTTTCAGTGTTCAGTTCTGCTTAGGAGGTACCAGTACCTTCCAAGCGCGGTAGAAATGCTCATTGACAGTGGCACGAAGTGACCAATCTACTACCCTTGCTTGCCTCACCCAAAAAATGTCAATTTCAGCTCACAACAACATGATAATAGCATAACAACGTGAAACAAAGAAGGGTACTACCAATAATACTTTTGCACAATTAAACCAAGTAGTGGATGTCATTACACATACCTCAACCTCCATTGCACTGAAACCGAATCCAGAGTCGCCCTCCACAGCAACTACGAGCCGCTCTGGCTCAGCCACTGCTGCCGCAACACAGTACCCCAACCCAACACCCATCGTCCCCCATGTCCCTGCATCCAGTCTTGTCCTTGGCTCATTCTGCACAAGCACAGCCCTGCCAACATCCATGGTATTCGCCCCTTCCGAGACCACAACTGGAGCAGGGCTCCCCTCGGCAAGGATCGCATCGCGAATGATCCGCATGGGTGTCATGAAATTGAACGGCACAACATCCTTCACAAGCTGTGCCTCCATCTTTAGCACATTATCCTTGCTCTTCTTGGTGATTGCATCAACCCATGGGTGCGACCGCGCCAAGCAGAATGGCTGATCCTTGATCTCCCTGTTGAGGAGCTCAACGACTTTCTTCGCATCCCCAACCAGACCAACCTGCGGCTTCCGAAGCTCAATCTCATCTTCAGAGACGTCCACAAGTATGAACTTGACATCCTTGGACCACTTGGGAGGCTCACCAAAGTGAAGCAACCAGTTCAGCCTGGCGCCGACGACGAGGGCCACATCGCACTGCCCAATGGCGAGGGAACGCGCGGCGGTGGAGGACAGTGGGTGCACATCTGGCACGACCCCCTTCCCCATGGGAGTCGGGAGGAAGGGGATGCCGGTGGTGTCCACCAGCTTCTGGATCGCCACCTCGGCACGGGCGTACGCCGCGCCCTTCCCGATCACGATCAGCGGCCGTTCCGCGCGCCGGAGCAGCTCGGCCGCCTCCACGATGCCCTGGTCCAGGGACTTGTGTTTCGGTGGGGACGGATCGGCGGAACCGGCCGCGGCCGCGGCCTCTGCTATGAGGGAGGCGGCGTCGGATTCGGCGAGGGTTTGGTGGAGGACGTCGGAGGGGATGTCGAGGTAGCACCCGCCGGGGCGGCCGGCGACGGTGGCGGCGAGGGCCTGGAAGACGAGGCGGGGGATGTCGGCGATGTCGGCGGCCTTGACGGCGAGCTTGGCGAAGGGCCTGGTAGCGGCGATCTGGTCGAGCTCCTGGAAGTCGCCCCGGCCGGCGTCGCGCTGGTCGCAGGAGCCGGAGACCATGAGGAGCGGCCAGGCGTTGGCGGTGGCGTGGGAGAGGCCGGCGAGGCCGTGGACGCAGCCCGGCCCGGAGACGGTGAGGAGCAGGCCGGGGCGGCCCGTGAGGAAGCCGTAGGCCGCGGCGGCGTACCCCGCGGACTGCTCGTTGCGGAAGGCGAGGAAGCGGCACCCGGCGGCGGCGGCGCGGGAGGCCAGGGAGGTCACCGGGATGCCCACCACCCCGAACATGTGCCGCGCCCCCGCGGCCGCCAGGGCGCGACCTGCGAGCGCGCTGCCGTCGACCCTCGCGGCGGAGTCGGACGCCATCTGTGTGGTGGTCTGGGGATGGGTGGGTTCTTCTCCGATCCGGCTCAGAGTGGTTGGGCGTGGGTTCGCTGGCACACGGAAGTTTATAAAGGGGGTCAGTTAGTCACTGGCGGCGGCGTGCCGGCGGGCGAGGCGGGGCAGATGCGCCTCCCCGGAGCCTGCGGTGTATCTGGTTCCGGTGGCGTCCGGCGGCCGGTGGGGAAATCTGCTGGATGTAGAGGAAAGAGTGCTCCTTTTGCTCTCCTCTCCTCTCCTCTCCTCTCCTCCACCAACATGTTTGTTGGCCAGAGTCTGCATAGACTTCATCATCATGTTCAAAAGCACTTTCCCCTCCACTGAAGTGATCAGGCCAACATACATAGGCAACTCAATATAGTTCCAGATAAAATGGTTATCGATGAATATGCTCAGTACAACAGTTATTAATGATCGTCACAACAGTTATTAATCCCTTCTTCAAGGTGTGCGCTTCATAGTCTAGAAGCTTGATGGGAGATCTTAGGTGAGCATAACGATCGCGACTTTTGTTGATCCGTCGTTCTCGGCATTTGTTCCTTTTGTACTTTATCTTTCTTTTTTCTTTTTAGATGTGATTGTGTTGCTTCTGCCCCAGCACCTATCGTTGGCTTTATAGAGTGTTGAGAGAGAGAGAGAGAGAGATCCAACAACTGTCTTTTCTTTCCCTCCAACTTTCTTTCCTCTCCAACTATTTCTCCTTTCACAAAATCGATTTTACCCAAATTATAAATTCAGCCAATTTCTATTTTGAGCATGGTACCATGGCAATGCTTGCATACACGCATATACGCTCACTCATATAAACACACTCACTGTATCCTTATGGCACCTTTCGAGATACTGAACCGTCACAACATTTTGAGAATGGCAAAGTCACCACAGATGTCCATTTCCTCTATTGTTCATTCGGTCTAATTTTTAATCTCCAAAAGGATGGTGTATAGTATACTCCCTCCATCCCATAATGTAAGACGTTTTTTAACACTACACTAGTGTAAAAAAGCGTATTACATTATGGGAGGGAGGGAGTAATTTTGTTTTGTATTGGTGTTTGCCTCCAAGTGTCTTTCATTGTCCGGTATTGTTTTCCTTCAAATATAAGATGTCCTTTGGATGCCTCTTTCGAAAAAAAAACTAAAAGCATTTTTGGCATGACACACAAAAGAAACTGAAAGCGCTAAGAATATGGAGTCAGGATTTGCCAAACATGCTAAAGGGAATTGCCAGGCTCACAGTACATAATTTTTTTTGGCATGTTTGAAAACATGACATTAGATTTGTAGTGGGTCCAGAGAAATAGGAACCCATCGGACAAAAATCTAATCTTTATCTTTACCTAATAATAAAGAAAATTGGGTTTCTGTCGTCCGTCTTCGCTAGCGATTTTGCAAAATAGTCCCTGTCCTTTTTGTTATTCAACCCGCAGTCCCTTTTTAAGTGGATATATAATATACGTCGTTCTTACAAAAAAGACCCTGTGTTTTTGTTATTCGGTTGCTGGCGAGCGAGACAAGCTGCAGGTCGAGGCTGGCCGCGATGCAGAAGATGTCCGGCGCGGCGGCTGCGATCTCCGGCCAGATCCGGTCGAGGAGGCGAGGCTGGAGCGATCTAGGAGGCGCGGGAGGAGGTCCAGCGGCGAAGCTTCAACTCCAAGTACATGGTGGCGGTGTTCCTCGCCGGTTCCGAGCGAGATGGGGCTGCGATGCAGACGATGCCGGGCGCGATGACGACGATCTCCGGCCAGATCCGGTCTAGGAGGCGAGGCAGGGGCCGGATCCTGCTCGGGGGATGGCGTGGAGGCGATCTACGAGGTGCGGGAGGAGGTCCAGCGGCGGGGCTTGAACTCCAGCGGCCCCCCTTTCGATGGACGGGGTTGCCCACGTCGCCGGCAACTCCCCGGAGGCCGACAGGACCTCCTCCTCCGCGTCCTCGACCGGCTCGGCCTCTCGGCGCTCCCGGCCGCACAAGGGGATTCACCTGCGGCGGCGCCGGCGACCATTGTCCGCTCGGAGAGGAGACGGCGGCGAAGGCGACGGCAAGGGCGCCGGTGACGAGTGCAGGGGCCTCGCGCTACCGCTGGGGATGTCCTTCGCGGCGGTTCCCGCCCAGGTGAGCGTCTCCTCGCGTTTTGGCTACTGCTATTGTTCCTTAATTGGTAGGTGGACCCCCTTCCTCCTAGCCATGCCACATTGTCGTGCGTCATCGGCCCACAACGCTGCACCAAGCTCCATGAGCTAATTGCTGAGGGTGTGCTTGGCCTGTGGTGACAAGCTCAACCAGAATTTCATCGAGTCCGAACTCAAGCTCGACGCCGGCAGATTCATCCAGCCGAACCACGGTCACTCACCCCATAAGGTCGCTTTCTCCTCCTCTATTAAGGGTTGTGCCATGTCTGAAGAAGAAACATGATGCAAGTAATTGATTCGTCCAGTTGTGTTACCTTGCAATGGCGGATATGGTAAGAACCCGGCCTCTTCTCCCTTGCCTGCTCCGACAGCGGTGTTCTGGGCGTCCATGACCATGGCAGAAAGTCTCAAAGGAGGACGCCGGCAAGCACAAGGCGCTGCTGCCACCATCTCTGGAGACTGGCACAACGCAATGGCTACAAGGGTCCAAGTTGCGTGTGTAGCAGAAGGACACTGATGGGAAGAAGACCAGTCCATTTCTCTGGGAAATAATCCGATGGTTTGCTCCTTTCAGTCTTGAGGATGAGTTGATTGACAACAATAAGATGGGGAGGGGAAGCATCGGAGGTAAAGATGTGCAAGGATGATAACTCAGGGAGAGGACTGGTATGCCACGTGAAACATTACAACAAGAGGATTGACCTACAAGAGAAAAAACAAGGAGATGGGGACATCTAGCAATCAGCAGCGTGGCGAGGAGGATGGTGGTGTCACCTGACATGAATAGTGGTAAACAAGTTGATGTAGTTAGCCACGTGTTCCTTAATATTTAGGCCTGGGAATTGGGACTTGCCAAAAAGCTGTCGCGTCTATGTTTGCTAATGTTTTCAGTCCATTGGTGTTTCCCTCATTATCATCTCGCGGACTTTGGATCTCTGTCAATACATGAATTCAGTTGCTACAATTTCTTACAGTATTTCTGTAGTTCTTTGTAGGGGATTTTTGTTCATGCATGACTCATGGTACAATAAGAATTATCTGTAATTCATGGACAATAGGAGTTTTCTGCCTGGTAGTAATTACTCAAATAACATCTTTTTCCATGCTTTCTCTTATTATTATTTTTATGTTTAATTATTTATTTGATCAGCAACCTACATGAAGTACTTTCCAGAGCAGCCATTCTGGAGTCTCTTATACCATTAACAGAGTTCTATTCATAGATGATAAACCCTGTTCCAGAGCACCCGCTACGAGCTTCATGTATGTTGTTGATTCATAAGAGATTCACTTGGGAGCAGGTGATGTGGTTCTTGGAACGCTTCCTTTAGCATGGGAATTTATACGCCATGGAGTTAATTAATATATAAATTTAAATATAAAAATAAGAAGAAAAAGATAAATTTTGGTAGGTTTGCTCGACATTGTAGTTTGAATTAAAAAGAACACATGTTTTTGCTGTTTGAACATATTGAATCATGAGCTGGCAAAAAGCAATATATAGCATGCTCATAATAAATTTTATTTACATTTCTGTTCTCTTCCATGGACAATTATAGACTTCAGACTAGATCGAGAAATTACATTTTATTGGTGTCACCAGAAGGTCCAGAACTGATAGAAATACGACCTTTTACAGTTTGAGCAACCTTGTGAAATAACCATTTAACGATTACTCTTTCTACTGCTACTAAGATGCTTAGCATAAGCCGGTAAAATAATACTAGGTACTTCTGGTTATAAGTTCGTCGCCGACTTTGATGATGTTAAGGCTTGAGAACTGATGGTACTTTCATTAAGTTCCACTATGGTACTTAATTTTTGAAGTTGGTGTAATGTTATTATTGAGTAAACTGATGAAGTATACCGGAACTGACACACGATACTAGGAATTGTATGTCCTTTTCTTGATAATAAAATACTCATTTGGTCTGATTAAAATTTTTGTCACATGATTCATCGTTGTGCATGAATTTACTTTATTTTAGTTTGTATTACTTGGAATGTTGAGAGTTGGTGTTCCCTCTCTCTTCAGGTCATTCATTGAAGCTTCAGCGACCCATAAAGCCCGAGAAGTGAAGCCCTCTTCAATCCTCTACCTCTCTCGCTGTTGTGTCCAGCCTGCTGCCTGCCTGCTGTGTTGCCTCAAAGAAGGGTCGGGGGCACTTGATGTGGAGGATGGCGACAAGGAGAAGTGAGGATTTCGTGAGGACAGAAACAACGGGAGAGATAAAACATACTCCTCTGGTGCATTGAATTTAGACTGTTTGATGTTCTGCTGCTGGTCAATTCAGTTTCCGTGCCCCGGTTTCATGACGGGAGTTGTCCGTCAGGGGGTAAGTTATAGGCGCACGCAAGCGCGCATGTGCTCGTGCATCTCGGTGTGTGGACACGGGATGCTCTCTTTGCAGTTCAGAGTAAGAGCGATCATATATGGCTTGAGATATTGCATAGGAAAAGGATCTACCAGATCATCAATGCAACACAGGACATCTGAATTTAACCTTATCTTTCTCTTTTCTTTTGAAAGGGATAGAGGAGTGGAAAGGCGTACTGCTTGATCAGAAACTAAGGAGTTTGCATCATTATTAGCTGCCAGTATAGCTTATTTTGAGCTTAACCACATACCTGATTGTTGTGTATGAAAGCATAATCCTATCAAATACTCTTCTTTTTTGCTTGGGTGTTCTGGTGAGAATCTTCAAGGTACCTGGTTGTTATCTCAGCAAGTCACATATCTGAAAGTTCAATAGAGACTTGCACCTCAGAGTTTTTGATAGGTCGCTAGAGGTGTGTGAAGTTTTCTTTCCTCCCGTTGCAACGCACGGGCACATTTACTAGTAATAATAAATGGGC